GCCTCCCAGGCCTAGGGCTGCTCACTGCCCCACTGTTTAGTAGACTTGGAGTTTTTGTTCTATCACTTGTGGTTTCCCTACACCCTGCCCACACCTTTATAAATAGTCCTTTCATTAAATGCTCCATGAATTATTCTAATGTGATTGTGCCATCTGTTTCCTGCTGGGACCCTGATTGTACCTCATACTGTTGCCCTTTTTATTTGAAGAGAATGTTTTTGCGAATGACCATTCTTTGTGTGAAGACAGTTAGAAAGGCAGATGTGTGTCCATCATTTTAATGTTACACTTTGATAGAAGCCTGAGGGGAAAGCAGAGCTACATAGTCATTTCAGTAAATATCTGTGACTAGACCTTCACCCAAGAGGATAGATAACAATTTGGAAGTAAATGCAAATGAGATAGGAGAGCATTTACCTTAGGTAACAACTCTGCTGCACGTGCCAAACCAGTTGAGCGGACTCACGTGGTTCACTCCAGCTGTGGGAATATAAAATTACATATTTTATATAGAGACCTTCCAAGAAGGATGCAAACTGTATTCCTATGTATTTTCAACCATTTTATCAAGATACACGTAGTGGAGAAATATTGCATCTCCTCGATCTGAAGAGTGGGCATTGATTTAGCTGCCAGAGACAGAGGAAGCTGGAATCATTATTAATTTATCTGCAGACACTGGCCCAAGCCATTCAATAAACAGGAGGTCCTGCAAGGATTATGTTTCATTGATGCTATTGTTTACTCTTATGTTAATGTTATCTATATGCTCAGCAAAAACCCAATTAAGCAAGATCCTTGCTTGTTAATGCTTCATGTTCTTTTTGCATCTGGCTGAGTATAAAAGGAGGAAATATAGTAGCTCATCCACTGGTGATAGTTGGGACAACAGGAGAAGAGGAGACGTCCCTTCACATGTAAATTGTAAGAAAGGCAGAGATTTTATCTTGAATCTTCCACTTCCTGTCTCTTTTCCCCCTCTCAGAACTCCTTTTACCTCGAACTTTCACAATTTAGATACAGCCTAATCTTTCCTTTCTGCAAATAAAGCAATCTGATAAATGTATTCCTATGAGACCTTCAGGGAAAGATCTGTGGGCTTTTCCAGAACCACAAGAAAAAAAAAAATAGGAAAGATAAAACAAATCACGATGAAATAAGTATCAGTTATTCTATCATTTTGAGGGTCAAATATTATTTCTAAAGGTCCAAATAAAGAAAATAAAAGCAGAAATGGCAAATAATCATAGGCAAAGATTTTATATACAAGGAGATATATTTCACATAGATTATTCTGATAGAAGCAACAAAAATATGCTACATGAAAGGAATGGTTAAATAAAGTGTGATCTATCCATACAATAGTTAAATAACTTTTTATACACCCATAAGCACCCATCAAACATCATCTTTTCAAGTATATTTGAACACATAGGGGACTGTTCCAGATAAAATATTAGGTGGAAAAAGCAGCTATGTGTTTAGTATTATCCCTGTTTGGATTATAAATATGTATGTGTATTACATGTATGCATATCTGTATTAATAGATAAAGAATTGGGAATACATATGCTAAAATGCTAGCAGTGATTATCTCTGGATGATAGGATTATAGATGATCAATAGTTTGTTCTTTAGAAGTTCTGTATTATTTACACTATTTTTGCATTAAACATATAAACATGTTTATTTTATAATTAAAGGTGGGAAAGTTACTCTTTAAAAGAGAGGACTTTGATTTACAGAAAGGAATGGTGGAATTTCAGGTAGCAGGGAATGGGCATTTTAATGTGTGCGAGAGCCTTCTATTACATCAAACATAACAGCAGTAATTAACAACAGGCTTCACAGAATAATAGTAATGAATCTTTCTTGTGTACTTAGTTTTTGCCAGGCACTGTGCATTAGGGTACTTTGTATTCATTGCTTCTCTTCTAATCCTCTTAACAACACTATGGAAGGTAGGTGCTAGAATTATCCTGAAGAGGCAAGTGGAGTTTAGAGAAATTAAGAAGTTAAGTATATTGATTAGGGTAAAGCAAACCGCTGTAACATAAACCTGAAATCTCATTGGATTAACAAAAGGGAAGCTGATTCCTTAATCACCCAAAGGTTATTTCTTAATCATGTAAAATTCCATTGGCAGCACCGGTGGAGGGTGGGGTGGAGTGTCTACTCCAGGCACGGAGGGAGGCCCTGCTGTCTTCCACACATGGCTTCCAAGGTTGCCCTGGACATTCATACCAGGCCAGCAGCCAGGGTAATTTGAGATAATGGAGGACTCCGTGGTTTTTGTGGGCCAGAATTTCCACCCACGTTCCCGTGGCCAGAACTCAGTCTCACGGTTACTCTTAACAGCAAAGGAGGCTAAGAGATAGAGCCTAGTCATATCTCCAGGAGGAAAGAGGGAAGGATTTGGAGAATGGTTCACTAGCTTCTGCCCTGTGGGGTAACTTACTGGAGATCACACACCAAGTAAGTGACAGGGCAGGATTTGAATACAGTCAGCCCCATTCCAAAGCTGACATGGTAACCACGGAGCTAGACACATTCACACCACAGAGGACTGAAAGTTTCAAAGCTGACTCCCTTAAGCGCTGGCTTATAGAGCAGCAGAGTTGTTGTCTTTAGAAATGAGATACTCAATCTTTTATTTTTACTTACTTTTGAAAAGGAGGTTTTACTTTGGTTTTTAAAAGTTAGATTCAAAATGAAAGGAGAAGTTGAAGTATGGCCGAGACTAAATACCTATGAGCAGGATAAACATCCAGGAATTACAGATAGAATGAACTGAGGTCTATGAAGAAATGCTTTCAGTGGCAATAAGGTAGATCTTAAAAGAGTAGTACAAGAAGAATAGCATGTTATAAACTGATGGCAAAGGAAAGAAAAATTGCTTAATGCATATTCTCTCAAGAATAGTCTTCAAATAAGAAAAAGCAGAACAGGGGCACCTGGGTGGCTCAGTTGGTTAAGCGTCTGCCTTCGGCTCGGGTCATGATCCTGGGGTCCTGGGATCGAGCCCCTCATTGGGCTCCCTGCTCAGCAGGGAGTCTGCTTCTCCCTCTACCCCTCCCTTCTGCTCATGATCTCTCTCATGCTCTCTCTCTCTCAAATAAATAAATTAAAAAAAAAAAAAGAAAAAGCAGAACAAACATAATTAAGAGGGAACTGGAACGGAGGTACAGAATAACCATGAGGCAGGTATGAGCGGTGGGACCAAAAATGGCAGTGGGGGCAGAGGGCAGCCGATACACGTTGTATTGAAGTTCTGTCTGTTGAAGAATCTATTAGGGTAAAAGTCAAAATATACCTGATACAAGGAAAGGAGGAGGAGGAGTGGGGAGTCAAGGCAGGATGTCAGTTTTTATGTAAAAAGAAATAGAGGTTTGAATATTATTTAATGTTACAGTGGTCATTAATAGAAAAACTAAAAAAAGAAATTAAAGCATTGAGGAGAGAGGAATAGGTTAGTATAAACAAAATCCTCTTTCATATCAGGGAGTCAATAAAAACTACTTTGTTTGATAAGTTAAGAAATAGAAATATTTCTTAATTTTATCCAATAAATTATCCAGCGGAGATAACCTCCAAAATAATAAAAATAAAAATATTAAGAGTTTAGGGTAGTGTCCCTGGGGGGTGGAGAAGGAGGCAGTAGATTGTAAGGTCTACCTTACTATTTGACTTGTTCATATATTTTCTTCATGGAAAGTAAAATTCAGTGCAACTCTCTAGATTCCTGTGCTTTGTCATGCATAATATTTTCCCAGAAAGCCTACTAGAGTATAGTTTTCAGACCCTTCCTCCAGCAGCCGTAGGAGGTAGCTATAATTTTTATCTGCATTTCGTAATTGTTATAATTTAGCAGGGTGTTCTGATACAAGCGATGGAACCATGTCTGTAGGCTGTGAGAAATTATGTCCAGTGCTTCTGCCAAAATCATAGGTATGAGAGCTGAACCAGCCTTCTCTGCTTTCCCTCTCACCACGCTTCTGAAATGTGGTATGCAAATCTGGCTGCTCCCTTTTTTCAGTTGGAAGTGTCTTCAGGGAAAGATCTGAGAAGCTGTGCCCACAGATGAGCCTGAGAAGATGGCCTCTCCTTGGTGACTTCCCTTGGTCCACGGCCAGTGCCTTCTGTTTCTAAGCCCAGAACCAGTGTTGTCTGTGCCCTGAGAGAGTCACACCACTGCATATGACAACAAAGTCACATTAGTCATTTATAATGAGGTGACTGCCACTTGGACTACACACTCTGATTGGCTGATCAGCACACTGTCCTCTGATGGAGAAACCATTTAGAGAACCAAAATAAATCTAGAAAGTTGCTTTATAGATGGGGAATCAGTTTATTAGATGAATAGGATGTTTAACAGACATAACTCCACTTACCCGTCACCCATCTCCACAGCATGTATATAGCTAAGAGACTAGCACTTCCCAGCCCTAGCTACACCTTACGTTCACAGACAGAGCTTTTCATAAGTACTAGCATAAGCTTCATCCCAGAGCAGCGAATTGGAATCTTTGAAGGTGGGGCCCAGGCATGGATAATTTCGTTAATCTCCCTAGAAGATTGTAATGTACTGCTAGAGTTGAGAAACAGGGCATCCCCAACAGGTTGTCTGAAACCTCTCTTTCTTCTGACCCACACGGCAGACAAACTAACATGTGCCTTGGGGATATGCCTGTGGCACCACTTTGGTGACTTCATATGGTCCATGACTGACTAATTCCTTAATACGTCCAGAAACTCAATATTGTCTACAATACAAGTAAAACTTTGCTTTACGTGTGTTAATTCATTTAATCATCATAGCAACTCTGAGGTAGATACCGTTATCTACATTTCATAGACGTGGAAACTGAGGAAATAGGGAGGTTAAGTAACTTGCCCAAGGTACACAGATGTTAGATGGGAGAGCTGGGATGTGAACCCAGGTGACCTGGCTCACAGTCTGGACTCACCCATTCTGTTATATTCCTTTACAATCACAGACTTCTCCCTGTTCCTCATTTGGCTGATGACCTTGATTCTTAACTTCACTGAGAAAACCAAAGCAGTCAGAGAAGGTCTTCCACCGGCTTCCACAACCACACCGACCAGCCTGCTGCATCTGTGAGCGTCCCTTCCATTTGTGCACCAGACCCCATCTCCTCTTGCCAGCTCAGGGACATGGTTCCAGCACGAAAGCCACCTCTGTCCTCTTCCTCAATTATTTCCTTAGTTGGTTCTTTCTCACTAGCTGGTCACATATTTCAGTGTTACATATGCCATAATACCTTTCATGGGGAAAAAAAATCCCTTCTGTGATCCTACATCTCCTTGCAGCTGCCATCCTACTTTTCTTTTCTCTTCTGTAGCAAAGTTCCTTGGAAGAGTGGTCTCTATTTGTCTTCACTTCTTCTTTTCCCATTCTGCTTCAATCAGACTTTAGAGCTGCCCTCCCCCAACATACACACATACACTCATTAAAATAGTACTTATCTGGTGGCCTCCACTCTGCCAACTCCAGTGGTCTTCCCTGAGTCTCCACGCTTTCCGCTTACCAGCAGTATATGGCAGCGTTAATGACCTCACCTGGAAATTTCTGGGACTCCACTCTGTCTCAGCTATGTCTTCTGCTACGTTACTGACCATCTATTCTTTCTCAGTCTCATCTGCCAATTCCCCTCACCCCTTTGCTTTCTAAGCATTGGCATGCCCTGAGCTGTCCAAGATTTATTCTCTTTCTATAGTCACTCTGTAGGTGATCTTATCCTGTACACTAAAGGTCCTCAGATTTCTACTTCTAAATATCTTCATGACCATTGGGTAGGAAAAGATTTCTTAAACAGAACATAAAATGTGCTAAGCATAAAAAGAAATGTGGATAAATCAAGCTCTTTTAAAAATTTAGACTGTAAATCAAGACACTATTCAGAGAGTGAAAAGGTAAGCCATAGAGTGGAAGATATTTATATTGCATGTATCCAACAAAGGACCTGTATCTGTATTATATAAATAACTCCTACAAATAGTAAGAAAAAGATAGACAAAGAAATAGAAAAAATAGGCAAAAGGCTGGAACAGCCCAGATCTCTTCCCTAAAGTCCAGCCTTGAATATAAAACTGTATATTCATGGGCGCCTGGGTGGCTCAGTCATTAAGCATCTGCCTTCGGCTCAGGTCATGATCCCAGGGTCCTGGGATCGAGCCCCACATTGGGCTCCCTGCTCAGCAGGAAGCCTGCTTCTCCCTCTCCCACTCCCCCTGCTTGTGTTTCCTCTCTTGTTGTGTCTCTCTCTGGCAATTAAATAAATAAATCTTAAAAAAAAAAAAAAAACTATATTCATGATCTCCATTGAATAGGCATCTTAAATATTACCCATACAGAACAATGCCTGCTTCCTCCCTTCCCTCTCAACCTGCTCCTCCTTCAGTAAATGGCAACTCCAGACACCAGTTGCACAGGCCAAAACCCTTGGAGTCATCATCAACTATACTCCTCTTATATCCCATATCCAACCTATATTAGTTCTCTATTGCTGTGCAACAAATTATCATACTTCATTTTCTGTAGGTTGGGGATTTGGGCATGGTTTAGCTGTCCCCAGCTGCAGTCTCTTACAAGGCTACAGTCAAGGTGTCAGCCAGGGCTACAGTCATCTCAAGGCTTGACTATGGAGGACCACTTTCAAGCTCACTCATGTGGCTATTGGTAGTCCTCAGGTCCTTGTTAGCTGTTAGCTGGAGACAATAGTTCCATGCCACATGGAACTCTCGAAGTAAAGATTACAGTGTGCCATCTGGCTTTCCCCAGAGTTAGCGAGAGAGAGAGAAGGGGGGGCGGGCAGCTAGACATGAGTCACATTTTATAACCTAATCTTACAATTGACATACCATCACGTTGCCACATTCTTTTCATTAGAGGTGAGTCACTAGGTCCAGCCCACACTTAAGGCGAGGTAGGAATCATTGGGGGCCAAGGTGGAGGCTGCCAGTCACACAATCCAACAACAAATTCTGCCATCTCTACTTCTAGCATATGTGTGGAGTCCAAGTACTTCTCACCACTTTCATTGTTAGCTCCCTGGTCCAACCTTCTGTTGTCTCTCACCTGGCTAATTTCAATAGCCTGTTAAATGGTATTTTTGCTCCCTAATCCCTACCACACACAAACTGTTTGACATACAGTAGTGAGAGTGAGCCTTTGAAAATATGAGTCAGATCTTGTTAATCCTCTGCTTAAAAAAAATCTCCAGTGTTTTCTAAGGACCCACATGCTCTGCTCCTACCCTGACCTCCTCTCCTACTATTCCCCTCTTCACTCATTCTGCTGCGGCCACACTAGCCTCCTCAGTGTTCACTGAACACATCAAGTATGTTGCCAGCTCGATCCTTTGCATAAGCATTTCTTCTCTTAGATATCTGCAAGGCTGTGTAATTGTCACCTTTCAATGAGGCCTTCCCCAGTTGACATATATAAAAGGCAATATGCACCCCCTCCCTACTCCTTTGCTCCCTATACCCTTTAATCATCTTGTACTTTTCTCCATTATACTTAAAACCATCTACCTTGTTTCACTTGTTTATTTTCTGTCAAATGCAGAATTTTTAAAATTTTTATAGAATTTATTGGCATGGAATAGGAGTGCAATAAACGTTTATTAAACACATACATACCCTTGATCAGGTTATATCAAATTCTCACTCTTTCTAAGGCTGGTACAGGACAATTTTGTGTCTGTGTGGCACCTTCTGCATAGTTGAGCTCATCTAAGTAGTGTTGAATTCATCACTTAACGTTATTATATGTGGAAGGGACGGGTGGGGATATGAAAGGGGCAGGAGGACAGATTGGCTGGTACGTCCCTAGCACCACACAGTCCCTTTCAACCCACTGGTTCTTCATCCTCTTGTAAAAACCCTTCCTCCCCTGAGCCTCCTGGTACCTGGCTTATACTTATGCCTCCTTGCTCTCACTTCCAGACTGTGCATTCATCCAGGGAGACCTTAGCCCAGCACCCTCAGTTTAGACCTCTGGCTCTTGCTCTACCTGTAATCACAAACTCTAGAATACCCTAAACTTCTGCCCTTTCAATTTATTCTCCTTCTATTTGTCCTTGAAACTCAGTGAGATGTCCACCCTACATGCCTCCATTTTCAGCCAAACAATTAATGCCCCTTTGGCTTTATGTCCTGTATCCAGCCTAAATACCTGATTCATTTTCTCATTCTGTACAAAGAAGATGTAGTATAGTGGTGGGAAACAGAGACCCTGGAGATACAGACAGGTTCAAACCCTGGCTACACCACTTCCTAAACCACGCCTTGGGTGAACTAATCTGTCTGAACCCACTTTCTTTGACTATAAAATGAGAATAGGGAGGTTGTGAGGATTGCATGAGACTTAAGAAAGCGTTTAGCTCATAAACAGAACAACAAATGGAAACGATTACTATTAATGATAATTCTTACATGAGTTAATATTTAGAAATGTTTAGAACAGTGCCTGGCACATAGTAATGACTATTTAATGTTTGTTCAATAAATTGATATTTTTTTCTTTCTAAAGTCATTAATTTCCTTTACCTTTCCCTCACTCTCAAAAACTCCCAGTTTCTGTTGCTCCAAAAGGAGTTCTGCTCAGGAAGTCACACAGCAGGCAAAATGAAGCCAGAACAAGCCTGGTCCCAGGGCAGTCAGCCCGTCCTTCCGGTGTGCCTTAACACCACCATCTCTCCTCTGCCCAGCAGCTGCCTCGGCTCCTCCCTGCTCATACCGAGAGCCCTCCTTACCATGTTCTCTCGCACACTGAGTACATGTTCTTACCTCCTACTGGACAGAAAAAGACGGAGGTCTGGTGCAAACATCTGCTTGTAGACCCTGCAGCTGTGACTCCTCTTCACTGATGCTCATCCTTACCCTTGTCTCCCACCCAAGGGCTCTCCATCTTGTCTGGGCTCCTTGGGAATGCCACACTCTCTGCATATTTAACCTTCCCCTCTCTGCTGCTTCTGTTCATCCTCTTGATGCGGGGGCAGTAAAATGCAGTGGGTTATGCATGTAGCCCTGTCCCCAGAATCCTCAGGTGTGGACCTGGTGCTGCTTTTTCCTGACTGCATGTCCCTGGACAAGTTACTTAACCCCGCTCTTGCTCAGTTTCCTCTTCTGTAAAATAGGGAGGACACTGGTGTCTATCTCATAGGCTGGTTGTATGAATTAATACATGTGAAACACTTTAGAACAGTCCTGGCATACAGCAGGCTCTCAATAATTGTGTGTTCTTATAAGTCATCCCAATCTAAAAAAGTGCATAAAGCTTCCCTATTTGTGTCTTCTCCTAGCCACTACTGTATCCTTTTTTTTTAACATTAAAGTTTCTTGAAAAAAAATCCTTTGATATGTTTATTCTCCCTTGCTCTAGTGCTTCTTTTTACCCTTCTGCCAGATGTATTGTTCAACTCTCCCATTAAAGTGCTTTTGCTTAGGCCTTGCAAATACCAATGTGTGTGTGTGTGTCCCCATATGTGTGTGTACTTGTGCACTTGTGCTGTCCACCCTGGGACCCCTGGCACTGGACCACTTCTTCCTCCTTCAGATCTCCCCCAGGGCCTCTCAAGACACCATTTTCTTTCCGTTCTCTGATCTCTGTAGCACAATCTTCTCCTCTCTTTCCCATGCTTATCTTCTAAATGGTGGTTGTCTCCAGGACTCTGTCAGCAGCTCTGCCTCCTTTTCACGCTATGTACTCTACTGCAGGCTACCCAAGTCTTCAGTGTCTGCTTATGTGGCAGGACTCTCAAACTGAATTCTGATCTACAAACTCATCTATTCCAAGGCCTACTTACAATTTTACTTAGTTGTGCCTCAGGCTCATTAAAATTTATCATGTCCAAACTTGAACTCTTCATCTTCCCCACCAAACACACTCCCCTTTCCTTATTCCATACCTTTTATTATTTATTTATTTATTTATTTATTTATTTATTTATTTATTTAGCACACATGCTTGAGTGGGGGTAGGAAGGAGGGGCAGAGGGAGAGGGAGAGAGAGAATCTTAAGCAGGCTCCACGCCCAGCACCCAGCCTGACGTGGGGCTCAATCTCACAACCCTGGATCATGACCTGAGCCA